ATCATAAATGATACAATCACAACATGATACAACTCACAACACTGATACATACAACTTAACAAAAAAACTGATACAACTTACAACACTGATACAACTACAACACTGATACAATTACAACACTGATAAACTTAAAACATGATAAACTACAACACTGATACAACTCAACAACACTGATACAACTCACAACACTGATACAACTCACAACACTGATACAACTCACAACTGATAAACAAACACTGATACAACTCACAACATGATACAACTCACAACACTGATACAACTCACAAACACTGATACAACTCACAACACTGATACAACTCACAACACTGATACAACTCACAACACTGATACAACTCACAACACTGATACAACTCACAACACTGATACAACTCACAACACTGATACAACTCACAACACTGATACAACTTACAACACTGATACAACTTACCTTTGAATAAATCCTAGCTACTTGAGCTTAGCAATTACATATAAAAGATTGTAATATAAATTTTAAATGTACACGAGTACAAACCTTTAGCCAGATTTGGCTTATCAAAATTATTACACAAATTAATATAAATCCTTGCCAGAATTTGGCATAGCAAAATTAATATTATACACATTATAATCTTTATCCACACTTGTCTTATCAAGTACACATTCACTGATATAAATCTTGGCCAGAATTGTCTTATCAAATTAATATTATACAAATTAATATAAACTTAGCCAGACTTGACTTATCAAAATTAATATTGTAATAATTATAATCCACAACACATTAAGTAAATTTGTGAACTTAACATCCACCTCCTTCTGTCATTTCACATATAATTAAGTAATTAACTAATGACTTCACTAATTACCTCCGGTTCAAGAAGGACCAACGGGCAAATTAAATGTGGAAAATTGCATTTATCTGTAACTAATTATGTACATAACAGTAAATGATAACAAAGATAATTATTATCTATCAATGTTACATAGACAAGTAGGAATTTGGGACACCTAGGCCACAAAAATGTCCCCCTTCGATACCTACCACTGTCATAACCACAAGTTGCTCTGGACCTATTAATTAAATGAAATATACATCACCAGGAATACTGGTAAATATATAAATTTGTGGACTGTATATTAAAAATAATAAATGGTTATATATATACACAATTACATAACAGAAGGAAAATATATCTTAATATCACTTACCAATTTGACTGGAGATTAATGTGTATCATACTCAGAAAACCTAACTAAATTTATGAAAATTATGCTGGCCAGAATTACACACAAATCTAGAGAGCTTATCTGAGGTTCCTGGAGCTGTCTTGTCCAGTCGTCTGATATCTCAAGTTATGCAGGAATGCACATCCAACAATTTCGCCTCCTATTTGAGAGGTGTCAACACAATTTTAACTTCTAGAGCACGAAAAACTCTTCCCATTACACCAACGTTTGTACAAAATTCAAAACCAAGATGGCGAGTCTTCTTTTTTTCGATAACATACTTCTTTTAAAAATACGATATAGGGCATCTATTTACCTATAAATTACCGTATTTCCGGAAAATATATGCAGTATTTTCCACATCAGGATAACTCAAGAAAAATCTCGAGTAAAAGTGTTCCGAGTTGCTCTGCTCGAGAATTACTCAGGATAACCGAAGAACAGGAACGACGACGTCTTCTCTCCACGGCGGCTGGACGGCTTCTGAGTGTGTGTCCGGGGACGACCGATGACAACGTCTACAGGTCCCTGTCGGCTAGGTACACTAGATGGTCACTGGAGGGACAGTGTTGTGACCCACTGGAGGGACAGTGTTGTGACCCACTGGAGGGACAGTGTTATGACCCACTGGAGGGACAATATTGTGACCCACTGGAGGGACAGTGTTGTGACCCACTGGAGGGACAGTGTTGTGACCCACTGGAGGAACAATATTGTGACCCACTGGAGGGACAGTGCTGTGACCCACTGGATGGACAGTGTTGTGACCCACTGGAGGGACTGTTGTGACCCACTGGAGGGACAGTGTTGTGACCCACTGGAGGGACAGTGTTGTGACCCACCGGAGGGACAGTGTTGTGACCCACTGGAGGGACAGTGCTGTGACCCACTGGAGGGACAGTGTTGTGACCCACTGGAGGGACAATATTGACCCACTGGAGGAACAATATTGTGACCCACTGGAGGGACAGTGCTGTGACCCACCGGAGGGACAGTGTTGTGACCCACCGGAGGGACAGTGTTGTGACCCACCGGAGGGACAGTGTTGTGATCCACCGGAGGGACAGTGTTGTGACCCACTGGAGGGACAGTGTTGTGACCCACTGGAGGGACAGTGTTGTGACCCACCGGAGGGACAGTGTTGTGACCCACCGGAGGGACAATGTTGTGACCCACTGGAGGGACAATGTTGTGACCCACTGAAGGGACAGTGTTGTGACCCACTGGAGGGACAATGTTGTGACCTACTGGAGGGACAGTGTTGTGACCCACTGGAGGGACAGTGTTGTGACACTGGAGGGACAGTGTTGTGACCCACTGGAGGGACAGTGTTGTGACCCACTGGAGGGACAGTGTTGTGACCCACTGGAGGGACAGTGTTGTGACCCACTGGAGGGACAGTGTTGTGACCCGCTGGAGGGACAGTG